ACACACACACACACACACACACACACACACACACACACACACACACAAACACACACAACACTAAAACATACTTACACTTACACCTTTATAATTTATATAATAATAATGTTATATTTGTATGTAATAATTTAATAATATGTAGATTACCATTAATTTAAGAACTTAATGTAAATTTTCAACATGTATGTTTTTCGATTAGGCTATAGATTAACGCTAGATAAAGTAACGCTATAATTAAAATGTAATATGACAAACTTTGTTATTGGCTATATACGTATATTATTATGATTGTAAACGAAAATTAAAAAGCTGTAAAGTTTGCAAATAAACAAATAAATAAATAAATAAAATAAATTTTCACATTTTTTCGGTTTATCCTCGAAATGCTACAGGTTATTAGGACAATTAATTATATTTATCCATGATCGAGAACTGTCACTACGGATTTTTTTTAATCCCTTTAGTTTTAGAGTTATTCAGCTAAAACGAATTTGGTACTTTTAATGCGCAAAATTCAACATCTCCTGTCGCATGTCACGCGAACTTCAGGCATATATTTGTTTCACAAATTTGGGCGGAGCCAAGTCAAAACTTTTTTGACATGCTCCCTCTTAATGTAATGTAACGTAAATGTGACGTTTTCAAGTGTAAATTTATTTTACCTATGGAATAAATGATCTTTGACTTTGACTTCTGCCGCCCATTTCTGCCGCCAAGCTGTAATAAGTAAGGTGGCCGTTTTCCCTGGACGAAATCTCACAAGAAGCTCTACTGCTACTACAATTTTTCTTATCGTATCGTAGTCTTGAAACTTAGATTTACTTTTAAATAGCCGTAGAGCTCCTTGTGAAAGAGTACAGCTTACATATTTCTATCGCTAAGCGGTAATGTGAGCAATACTGCGTTTCGGTTTTAAAGGGTGATTATGACATTCACACGGAACTTGTCAGTTTATGTCTCAGGGTTACGGGCGCAGTGACAGTGCCCCTCAGATGCGATTTAAAGCTCTGAGTGGCATTGCAGCTGTTATCGACGCACGACTTTTTTGTCCATAACAGTAATGGTCATTACTGCTTGGAGGCAGAAATAGGTAAGGTGGCAGTACTTCCCTCAACCTCAGGAGTTGTTGATTGTGCAACCCCCGACGAGTCATATTTTCGTATCCATGAGCTTAGTTTTCAAGCTACTTATATTGGTGAATGTTTAGTGCCACTACCTTGGGTTAAAGAAACACATTGCGATGAAACCTCAAGTTGAAAGTGACCAGCTGGAAATCTCCCTCCTGTCCTTGTCAATGGGATAGTCTGTATTTATATTCCACTTTACAATACCTTCCACTTTCTCTTTAACAGATGTAGTTCATGTGCTAAATTGGCTATCGCGCTAATTATTCAGATTCCCAGTGAAAGGGACTCTTTGGTGCCTTGTATAGTCTGCGCCATAGTTATAAGAGCGTTTTCTGAAACGTCTAAATGCATTACCAAAACCAACCTTATTACTTAACATAAAACTCGAAATAAAAATCAATAAACCATCTGCACGGTATGATACGAATACGATATTTGTTTTCTGCTCCAAAACGATCGTTTTTTTGAAAGAAATTAATTGATTCAACTTTTTTATGAAACACGCATTTATTGTTTCAGATTGATTGCTAGGTGTGGTTTAGTTTTTTAGTTTGTAGTAACTATTTATGTGGGTGGAGATGAA